GATGGAAAGTCGCAGTCTACCTGGATGACATCCTTATCTTTAGCACAACCCTCGAAGAGCACCGTGCTGTAACCCACGAGGTGCTGAAGCAACTTCAGGAGCATGATCTCTACCTGCGACCGGAAAAATGCGAGTTCGAGCAGACAGAGGTAGAGTACCTCGGCCTCATCATTCATGAGGGTGAAGTGGCCATGGACCCGGTCAAGGTCAAGGCCGTCACTGAGTGGCCAGCCCCCAAGAACCTGCGCGACTTGCGTAGCTTCTTAGGGTTCGCCAACTTCTACTGTCGTTTCAACCAGGACTTCTCCAAGCTCGCGCGGCCGCTCAATGACCTTACCAAGAAGGACGTTCCCTGGACCTGGGGGACCATGCAGCGACTCGCCTTCCAAGCTCTCAAGGACGCGTTCATGAGTGAACCCGTGTTGGTCTTCTGGGATCCGGCTCAGCTCACGCGGATTGAAGTGGACGCCTCTGGCTTTGCGACCGGAGGGGTGTTGCTGCAGAAGCTAGGCGATGACCTCTGGCATCTGGTGGCCTGCTGATCAGAGTTGATGGCTGAAGCGGAACGGAACTACGAGATCTATGATTGAGAGATGCTAGCGATCATCCATGCTCTTGAGGACTGGCGACACTACCTCGAAGGGCTCCCTGATGTCACACTTTTCTCGTGCCACGTGACCTGGGGGTCATGTGAACCAGGACAGACGCTCACCTTGACCACGGGCAACTCGTATCGGAAAGTGGAGGGGCCAGGATCGAACCCAGGACCTTGTAGGGTCCGGGAGCGCCCATCTTCACTCACTGGCAGGTGACTCACGTGTCAGCAGGGATGCTTACTCATCGGAGGAAGCCCGGATTTAGCATGACTCAGGTGTTAGTCATGAGGACACCATGTGACAGGTCAGGAGGCAGGACATGAGTCAGCAGACTCTGACCAAGCAGGGACAAATAGGTACCTGGTCTGTGCACCGTTGTATTTGTATAAATAGTAGGGATTCTGAGGCAGAGAACCTCAGACTTGATCTTCTCGTCGATCACCCATCTCCTCTGTAGGTAGCTAGCAGCCCTACCTCCCACTGCCCCTTCTAGTCTAGGGAATCTACTTCTTTGCATCACCTCTTGCTGTGTCACTTGTGGTTGCTTCGCTCTTAGCACCAACCCCTTCACCAGTAAGCTTTGTCTTTGTTTGTCTGGTGGCACAGCTCGTTGGCTGTGACATTAGATCAAGTCTGAGGTTCTCTACCTCAGAATCCCTACTATTTATACAAATACAACGGTGCACAGACCAGGTACCTATACGTCCCTGCTTGGTCAGAGTCTGCTGACTCATGTCCTGCCTCCTGACCTGTCACATGGTGTCCTCATGACTAACACCTGAGTCATGCTAAGTCCGGGCTTCCTCCGATGAGTAAGCATCCCTGCTGACACGTGAGTCACCTGCCAGTGAGTGAGGATGGGCGCTCCCGGACCCTACAAGGTCCTGGGTTCGATCCTGGCCCC